TTTGTGAGGCCAAAGATACGACCCGTTAAAAACACATGGGCGTTCACATGGGCAGTGGGAATTTTGCCCAACGCTGCCCGTTCTTAAAGAAAGCGGTGATGGGAAAAGTTTGAGGGGTACGGGTTGATGGGCTGTAAACAGTCGTCTGAAGGCGATAGTAAAGGATTGAGCTCGTTGTTTGGCTTGAGTGGACTATGTAGTTGCTGTTAAGCTCGGATAATGGGGGGAAAGGAAGCTTATGTACTGAGCAAGAACAAGTGAAGTTGCTCTTTATATATTGTCTTCGGACGCCAGTTCATTCGTAAGTCCATCTGCCTTACTAATGCATTGCCAACCTCTTCTTCTATTTTCATCTGCAAGTCTTCTCCAAAGACTGCCAAGCGCAGGATGATTATTCAGATTAACAAACATTTCGATGCCCTTTTCCGCTACCGACCTGCCTCCTATACTTAGTCATTGATAAGTATTACTAATCTCCGGTAAGCGTCAATTAAGGCGAAGACAGCTGCGGCTCGTATAGATTATAGCACCCAAAAGTCGGCTGAGCGGAGTGCTGATAGTGGGAAGCCGGTGGGATACCGGTGGGAGCCGGACCGTGGATACTCTCCCTTCGGAATAAATTCCTTTAAGGCAAACCACGAGGAATCATAAATTCACAGCTCAGTGGGATGCCGACGGGCGGCTGGAGGCCGTTAGTAATTCTGCGGATAACGACCCTCGAACTCTTAAAACCTTATTATGATTCCTAATCATTGAGATTAAGAAATATATTACTGGGCCGAGAGCCGGGTATAAGTATCAAGTAAACACCTCGATATTTGACCCATAGACCCATTTTCTCAGTGCGAAGTATAGCATATTCTTCGGACTATGACTCCCTCCATCCTCATCGTCGGCGCCACCGGTAATACCGGCCGAGCTGTCGCCCAAACACTGCCAAAGTTGCTTCAATCCAGCAGCACTTTGTCCGGGCACCGTATTATTGCTCTCACTCGCTCCTCGAATAGTCCAGTAGCACAAGAGCTTGGCAAAATAAACGGGGTCGAAGTGATCGAACAGAACTGGGTTGAGATCACCGCCGATTGGCTCCGCGAACACCAAGTCGCTAGAGCGTTCATTGCATCCCACCCTGAACCCAACCAATTTGCCGAAGAGTCGACCTTTCACCTCAATGCCCTCACCGCCGGCGTCAATTATGTCGTGCGGATCTCAACTACGGCTGCAAATGTCCGCCCGGACTGCCCCGCCTACTATCCGCGCCAACACTGGGCCATCGAGGCCCTCCTCGGCTCACCCGAGTTCGACAACTTGCAGTGGACCTCTCTTCAGCCAAACATCTTCTCGCCATTCATCTTGTCCCCTGCTGCGGAATTCATCAAGAGATACCGCACGACTGGAGAGCAGGATACACTTCGGTTGGTGCCATCAGAGAATGCACCCATCGGCATTATCGATCCTGACGAGGTCGGTGTTATTGCAGCTCATCTCTTGTCTCAGGACGATACTTCCGCCCATAACAAGTCCAAATACGTTCTGAATGGTCCCGAGGACATCACTGGAATGCAGATTGTCGCAATGGTTGAACAGCACATTGGTACACCTGTCAAAGATGTTAGCTACAAGGACGTCTCGTTCATCGACATGCTGTATGAGTGCCAGTATGCGGCAACCAAGGAATCGAAGAACGTCATCTATTCAATGACGCGGGCCGCCGAGACCGTGTGGGAAGGGGAATGCTCGACTTCTACGACCAGCAAGGAGGTCATCAAGCTTGCTGCTCCAAAGCGTACACCTGCTGATACCTTGAAGGCTTTACTTGAGGGCTAAGGAAACCATATGTTGAAGAATTGGCCCGGGGGAGGAAGGGGAGGATACAATTTGCTTGTATTGGGAAAATAGGAAATCTATCTGACTCATGATCAAAGATATCAGTTCCAGCCAAATAATGACCGTTTAGTATAGGACTGTGAGATTAGTGCACTGCAACTGGGCACTTAGAACCTCGTTGCGCAAGGCTGATTTCTCAACAAATCTTCTATATTTGGATAATATAGGCCTATAATGGTGTTAAGGGCCAATTGAAAACTAACTCTTCTTCTCATTATTCCGTGAACTGGTAGAAGCATAAATTGTTTGTTTAGGAGTAATAGGGTGTTCACTTTGTCAGCTATCGCGACGGCAACCGTCAACGTAATTTCCAAAGAGAGCACCCTCCCAGTTAAAACCAATCAGACTAGCCGCTTATTTCAAGATTCCAGAAAGTACATGACTGACATGGTCGCGGGAACGTGGCCAACATGACGCGGCCCAGATGGGGTGTTACTACGCATCTGGTGATGGTCCATGATCCTATTGTAGCTCCTTTAACTAGGATGGCCAGGTTAGCAATATTTTCTACTCACATGCCGCAGGAGTTAGGAAGTCTCACCGATGCTTAGGTCCTATCTGTTTACCGGGGTTCGCTGGATCAGTCTAGTTATGTTAGGCTTGCAAGTCGAGAATGCAAATTCTTGATTCGCAGGATATTGACATTCCGTGTAGAATGCAGCTAGGAAATACTTTAAATAGACGGTTGTGGCTGCGCAGAAACGAACAATTGAAATATCCTCTAGTTGAAACGACGTTTTGCTAGGTCTCTAGACTGTGCTTATCATACACATGCCGTCTCAGGCCCATTTCATGTTCAAGAACCTCATTGCAGTGGTTGCAGTGACGATCATTTAGGTGAGTGTCTCTAAAATGAGGTAGAAGGTGCTTATGGCGAGAGTGATGTTTCATAGCATGACTGGTTACGAGGTGGTTGATTTCCTTTTTTCATAGGTGGCTTGCAGCTGACGCGACATCAACATTTCACTAGTCCTTTGACTAGTATGTCCTGGCCTTTCACATAATATCTCTGTAGATCATAACAACATCGGGACAATACAGAGAGGGAAAAACGTGACGGAAGTACACGTGAGAGCACGAAAAGAAGCAGCGAACAAGAGCAAATCTTGGCAGGAAAAACAGACCAATCAGTGTCGCGAGTCGTAGGGATCGGCGAAGGGTTTGGTAGTGGGAGCACAGCGAAGTTCTGCGGGCAGGTCGCGCAGGGTAGTAAACCCCTCAACTTCGTTCCTCGTTTCAGGGCAGGAACGTGACCTGGGATCCAACCGGCACCAATGAGAGAGAGGCTTGGCGGGAGAGTAGGGTGTGTGTCTGTCGCTGTGTTTTTGGCAGCATCAACGTCGGCGTTGCGCAGCCGTGGGGTTGGTAACCCCTTTCACTCCGTTCCTTCGTTTCAGGGCATTATATATATCCGTGTATATACATGTATGATATCCCACTTCCTAAAAACGAACTTAGAGCCTTAAGGCCTGTCGTGGCCTGGTTGCCGCTCACGTCGTTCGGCTGCCCTTATAGCGCGCGACTTTTAAATCGTTATAACGCCTTAGCGAAGTCTAGCACGGCCGTAACCGTCCTAGCCCGCGATACGGTGTCTAGTTTACCTCTTTTACCTTTAGTTAAGCCTCTTAGTAGACTCGATACGCCATTAAATGCGCCCCTAGCTTCACTTCTTAACTTCCGTCGAATTTCCTTTAAATTTAGGTAGTCTACTAGTTAGACTGCGCCAAACCCCGAGAATGGGTAAGAGAAGTCGACCCGCACCCCGAACCCGCAAACCCGATGGGTAGACTCGACCAACCCGCAACCCGCCCCGAAACCCGCGGCTACATAATTTTCCCGATCGAGCTATGCCAAGGTGTATAAAAATGCTGATTCATACTAATAAAATACAGTAATTTCCGGTGGACAGTCTGTTGTGATATGAGGCTGGTGCCGATCAGGAATAAAGCCGCACCATCGGAATCAATTCCCGAGGTGTCTATACGAAGAAGTGTTGGAAATCAACTTGGAGCCCACGCTGTATATATAACCTCACGCATTCCCTCAGAAATACGACCAATTGAATTATTTTCAACATAAGCATCAACACGTTTACCGGCCCCGGTAGCAAAAACCCCGAGCACAATCCGGGGGATAAGGACTATCACATGTGAACCCATTCCTGGTAACTGTTCGGCCGGATCTAAGTGGTAGATCTTAATTATACCGTGGCGAATAATTTGCTACTCCGAGCTTATCAACTCCTCGATTAGTCCCCGGGTCTTCATTATCCGCCAAGACATTTTTGGTGGGGAAGATCGACTCTCGACTTTGACATAGATCATTCATTCTCTTGGTGACCCAGTCACCCTTGACCTCCTTTCCCTAGTGGGTCCACGGGTATGCTCTTGTATATGTCAGCCTCCTTCATTGCCCAGGTGCTGACAAGCTCTTAGTAGGTGTACTGCCTTTATGTTTTTTTCTTGTACTTTAGAGAATGATCACAATGTAAAACCCAAGTTGGATTCCAGCCAACTTACTTCTTGTAGATTTTTCAGCGTCGACGTGTCTGGATATCGAGCCAAGGCTGCTGGAAAAAGGAAAGAGGATACGTGACATTGGCCGAGCCCCCCGTTGTGCCGGCAGCAGCAGCATCCTCCTGCCCAGCTATTAGAGGAGTCACACAACACCCCCTTCTCGAGCCTCAATCCACTTCGCGAGCCTCAATCCACCTCGCAGACGATCCGTATTTTAGGAGCCGCAGCATGGCATTACACTTGTATCTAAGGAAAATATGTCGATTGAGTCTTCGATCTACCGAGGGCTGGTGGACATGGCAGATGGCAAGTGTCCAGAGAACAATTAGTCCTGTAGGAACAAGCTAAGTAGGCTGCCAGCCTAAATGGTAGCTCTTCAAAACAGGGAATACTAGTAACCTGGAAGGCTGTATCAGGGAAGGGGGCTCATCACTTTCTCCCCCACCATGTATATCTTTATCCTTCGGCCAAACTTCATTTGGAATGTTTCACTATATGCATTATCAAAAACAGTACAAATAATGATATGGGCAACATGATGTTTGATCTTTTATTGACATGTATTATAACCCGATTCTTCGTCCTGTGAGGCCGGTTTTACATGGATGGAACCGTGCCCTTCATGGGAGGACCCGTCTCGATCTCGTCGTAGCCATCGATCTCATCAAGCGCTTCCTTCAGGATCGCAATACCCCTACGAAGCTGCGACTCAGGGATATTTAAGGCCACTCCCAGTCGGAGGCGATCCCCATCAGGGTATACGAGTATACCCTTGTGGAGGCATAACATAGCCAATTTTCTTGTTGTCACACATGGGTTATTCGTCCGCTTCAGATAAAGCCCAAAGTCTGCCCCCCGATTGGTGACATAATCTAGCCAGGGCGATTGCCAGCTAGATGTTTCCTGTCTCCAAACCTCGCCGATCCAGGCAGCCCGTTCCAGCAATTCTTCCTTCTCAATGATATCGAGGGTTGCGCGAGTCAATGCAATTGCCTGAGGTGCCATGCCAAATGTGGCCACAGACTCATAGCCACCTATCAGGTCCATGACCTCATTATTGCCGAGGATATAGGATGCAGGATAGGCCCCGCCCGTGATGGACTTGCCCATCACAACCATGTCAGGTTTGTTTTCCTCTCCCATCCAATCAGAACAGAGAAATTTGCCGGTCTTGGCCGCCCCCATGCGCACTTCGTCTGCAATGAACAGAATATTGTATCTTTTGCAGAGCTTGCGGACTGCTATGGCGAAGTTAAGCTCTTCCTCAAAGGCACTATATCAAAAGTCAGCTTCCTGAACGCGTTAGTTTCAAATTTGGTCACCTACGGGCTCTTTCCGTGGATGCACTCCATAATCACTGCAGCTACTCGATTATGGACAGCAGCAAACACCTCTTCAAAATCGTGGACGCAGCAGTAGTTCAAAGCTTTCCCAGTTTCGGGGTTAGTATTTCGCAGGTTTTCATTTTGGACACCATAGTCTGAATGAGGAGAAAAGGGAATGCGAGTCAAGAAGTCTTCAAACACTGATCTGATAATCCTTATAAGCACTGACCTGTTGCTTGACCCATATCGTTCATTATAGGCCATATTCCCGAAGAGACACCATGATAGTTATCCGACACACCTAGAACAAGTGTCTTTTTTGGGTCGATACCTTTGACCTTGATGCCCCATTTGCGAGCAAATTTGACCGCTGCGTCGGCGCCTTCCGACCCAGACACCACTCCTACCATCTTGTCAAAGCCAAACCGTCCGCACATTTCATGTGCAAATTCAGCCCAGTCGCCTACTTTGGTGGCGATATTGGTCAACGTGACTTTGAGCGGTATTAGGTCAGCTAAATTAGTTTGCCCTTGATTTTCCTCTCAAGGGGGTCTTACTGGTGTTGATAGAGGCGATCTGAGCCTCAACGAGTTTTGGGTGGCATTGGCCGAGATTTGTGGCACTTAGCATAGAGATAAAATCAATGATCTCCCGTCCGTCAATGTCCTATGACACGCCCAGGATTAGCTTCTTGCTCTCTGTTCGGGAAAGGTTGCAGGGTGATGCCTCGGACGCTAGCCCTAGGGCAAGACAGACGTGTCTCGTACCTTTAGGATAGAACCTTTGCCGCTCTTGATAAAAACTGGAAGTGGGAATATCCCTCCCGCAGAGTACCTTTCGTCAATCTCAAGAAGTTCCTTGGTCTTCTCAGACAGCCGGAGGACATTGCCATCGCCCACCTTTTCGTGTGTCATGGTGATTGTGGAAATGCTGTTTTGTATTGAACGTATACTGAAAAGGTGAAACGAAGAAAGTATTGAAGAATATGTCAAGTGTGTGCAACCGGTTGATCCGTATCAGTCAACCTCTGCTATTTATATGCATTACCTAGGTCTATAGAGCTCTGTTTAGCACAGACAATGGTGTCGCCTGATCAAATCCGCGTGAGTTTTACCCAAGACGGTAAATGTTTAGCATTCTTCATATCAACCAATGATTTGTTGCTATGTTAAACTTCGCTCTTCCGGCAGTGTCTCTTCGGTATGTACTAGGAGAAACAAATACCGACGCATCCGAAGGCCCTAGAGCTAGAAGCTGGCCATCCAGTCCTGGCCCTTTCGAATAGGGTAGCAAGGCGTTTGGGGACATATACAATATAGTTTTGTCCTGACCACTGCGCCAGGGAGCTGCTTGAACACATCCTATCTCTAATGCACTGAGATCTCGCTTTGTATTGTTTAGCTGCAATATTTCTCGTTTTATTCCATGGACCTCGGGAGCTGACACGGCTTACATTAGGACAGTTGTATGGCGAGTCAAACAGAAAATTCAGCGGCACCATTTTGCCGACACCACTATCCGAATTCTATTCCAGATGACAAGACGTACCTGATAAGCAAAATAGTTACATCCTTTTTAGTGGCAAAAGTAATCTAAGTGGGCCCCGATTAGCGCGGGTTGGCTGCTGATTGGTGCTCTTAAATTCGAGGAACGCCCCATAATTTCTTAATGGGCCTGGGAGCAAGCTGAGTCAAGATCAAGCACTGCTATTTTTTCCCGGAACTTGCCACTTATCATGCCGATCCACAATCGTATTAGCAAGCACGAGTATCTATAGTTGTCGGGGAGAACTACGGGCCGAAGTGTTGAGGACGACATCATTCTTCGCCAAGTCAGGTATAACTAGCCTCCAAGGCGTGATTCGACCCACGGGGCTCTTTATATTAAGTTTTACATGAAGCTGTTGTCAAAAAGCTTGGCGAAATTAGTTGCCAGAAACAGATGCAAAGTGAGTCTCCATACATTACGTCACTAAGGCAAAACCACCAAGACTATGGTAATTGCTAAGCAGGAGTCGGGTTCAATATCTTTTAGCGCAAGTAATAATCACTTCATTTGTAATCGAACTTTGAGGCGCGAACTTGTGAGGCTGCTGGTTTCATGCAGCCTATCAGGTGGAAACAAGGTGAGCTATAAAGGCTCCTCACCCGACGTAGAGTTCATTCCTTTTCTCAAAATCCTCATTAATTGTATTGAATACCACATTCATAGCCAAAATACGCCATTTCTGATCCCTACAATTTGAATTTTCTTGGAGCTTTGCCCTATTATCGAATCTACCTACAATGTCCCCATCACCCTTCAAGAGCTCCTTTAGCGTTACGCATATTGGCACCGCTACAGCGATCTTCGAGATTGACAATGTCAAATTTCTGACCGATCCTTTTTTCTCACCCGCCGGCACAAGCTGGGACATGGGTGGTGGTAGTTTCCTGAAGAATACCGAAACTCCTGCTCTCGCTCTTGAAAACTTGCCTCCTATCGATGCGATTCTCCTCAGCCACGAAGATCATCCTGACAACCTGGATGATCTCGGTCGCCAGCTGCTGAATGCCCGCCCCGTCTTCACCACAGTGGATGGTGGGAAGAACCTTGCTCCTCGCCCGGCTGTTCGTGGCATGAAGGCGTGGGAAACCGCCTCTATTGACCTCGGAGGCCAGACATATGACATCACTGCCACCCCATGCGAGCATCTACCTGGAGGCGAATGTACTGGTTTCGTTCTGACCAAGGCGGGCTTCGGTGCCAGCGCCGATGGTCGCCCCAATGCGATCTATTTCACCGGGGACACTGTTTACATCGATGAACTCGCCAAAATCCCAGAGAAATTCCATATCGTTGCAGCTGTTATGAACTTGGGTTCTGCCTATGCCTCTATGCCTGACGGACCTCTCCAAATTACAATGGATGGCAAGCAGGGTGCCCATCTTTTCCGCACCATCAAGGCGGACTACCTTGTGCCCATGCATTATGAATCCTGGGGTCACTTTACACAGTTTGGAAAGGATTTGGTGAAGGAGTTCCAGGAAGAAGGAATCATTGAGAAGGTCCGCTGGCTCACTCCGGGCAAATCAGTGAAGATTCTCTAGGGGGCTTTTGTTTTCTTTCATTTTGGTGCCTGAGGTTGGAGTTGTCGTGTATTATCGATATTGATCTGAAGCAAAAAAACACCTTTCCGATATTTTTCGGGAATCAAAGCAGACTGATTTATCAGAACATAATAAAAATAAAAAATCTTGTCCTTTCGCTCGCGCTTCGCCCCATTCATCTGTGCTTGTTCTACGGCCGACCTCATAACATAACTGACATCCTCAGGTTCTGCCTTAGATCATATCTACTGATCCAGAAAGGATATTGAGAGAATATAATACAAAGCGTCCCTGTTTTATAAACAATACAGGTATTTTGATTGAACTGTTTTGCGTGTAGAGCCCAATCGTGAAGAATAGAGGATAGCCAGAAATTCATAGGTAGTAGCAACTGCTTTTAGAAATCAGAGCGGCACTATAGAGGATAGTTACTTCAGAAGACATATTATTGGCTTTTGACGCGCAGCCTAATCTTAGTTGGCCGCTCTTCTTCTAGTATAAAAGTACAGCATTCTGCATCCGCTTGCGCTCACATCTTCAAACCCCGCTGGTAAAGCATTGCACCCAAGGTCATCCAAGGAGCAACCCATAAGCAGCCGAGTCCTGCATAGGAGCTGACCTTGAAGTATCTCCATCCGGTCAACGTTCCTGCAACGACTGTACTCCAAATAATCAATTGTTCCTCGAATGTCTTCACACCCCCTATTCTTCCCCATTGGATATTGAGAAGCGCTAGTTTTAAGGTAAGCAGAGATAAATATATCGTTGTGGAAGTAAGGCGCACCAGTAACAGCCAAAAGGCCGTTGACCATGTCCCAGGCGGTTGTTGCAGTGGCCTTACCAAGAGCGTGCTTGGCATCGGATGGAATCTTAGCCACTGCAGGGTCGACTTCTTTAATTCCAAAAACAATATGACCGGGTATCGACATGGCATTGATTGCAGCGGAAGCATAGTATAAAATGGTAGGGATGAAAGACATTGTGAACGTATCGAGCTAAACACTTATTTCAGGAGGATTGTCCAGGGTTTGGAGAAGAAATCATGCCATGAATTACTGGGTGGAGCCGTTGTATCAGAATATATAGTAAAATGAGATGCTGACAAGTTGCTAATTTACCTCGAGAGAAAATAAAGCCTGATCTTACGCACCAAATATATTAATTGGCACAGAGAGCTCATTGATGATCGTGGGTGGGTTGTAAAGCATGGGTGTGATATTCCACATGCCAATCAATTCTTGGCGGATTATAGGGCCCGATAGGGTTGGTCAGTGCATGTTTTACTAGAGTTCAGGATCTGTCAGACAGCGGTTAACTCCAACATACCATAGTAAACGAGATAATTAACAACTTTATATTTCAACAACCATGGCATATCTTGATTTCAAAATTTGCCTAAAGACTTTCCTAGCTATTAAAAGCAACTCTTAATTCCTAGCCCTTTAGTTGCTATTTTTCTAATATTACAACAAATTACGTAGTAATTTTGACCCTAAGTGTGAAATACATATTTCTTAGTGGAGATTTCAACTTAGGGTTCACTAATATACTTGAAATCCTTTTCTAGTTAACCGGCTTCAAGAGTATATCCTAATATAATATAGTTGTTGGGATATAAAGTTGTAATTTATCGCATTTACTATGTGTTTTGGAGTCAACCGTTCGCCCCGCTCGCCCCGCTCACCCGTGGACTAGTTACGTTGGTAACCAACTAGTTAGTTAACGTTAACTCTTTCAAGCGCGCTGACAAATCATCCAATCCTTCCAAGGTTTGCCGTCATAAACCCTAAAACTGCTCCACTACGTCGGCTTGGAACTAGATCCTCACTTCGTGCCGGCTTCCCATAACATATAATTATAGATTCAGCTTGGTGATTGTGAGTCCATACGCCACATAGGGACCAAGGCGGTCTCGCAAGGGTCCGAAGTGAACGGTATTGTTATGTCTACCTGCACCAAGTCTAGCCTCGTACTTGTCTTGATCAACTGACCGCATAAAAACACGACTATGTCACACATATCACGGGTGAGCCTTATCGATAAGCGCGGGATCGCCTGTGATTGGTCTCTTCAATCGCCACACGGGTCTGCTCGATCTCAATCTCGTTTTCCCTGAAGCACCTCTTTAGACCTCTAATTGCAGCGATCGTGTTACAGCGGCAACCTGCAATACTTGACTCTATTCTTCCATTTGCAGCATATTACTACCCGAACCTCCAACTCTACAGGGGTGGATCGTGCCAACATCTCAAAAGGCTTTGAAGTTAGAACCCCGAACCCTAGGATAGCAACAACCCCACACCCCAAGATGGTTCGCGGCAAGGGATGCCGCCCCTGTAAACTACGCAGAAAAAAATGTGATGAGCGAAAGCCGGAATGCGAGGCCTGCGTGCGAAACGTCCTCGTTTGTACCTGGGGGTCATTATCTGACGTCATCCATCGTGTCAAAAACGAAAATGAATCCGTCCGCTGTGCAACCTTGACTGAATCCCGACTAGTCCAGTCCCCAATCAACAGATACAATCATATCGCAGGAGTGTTCCCCCAGGACCCGCATTCACTGATCCAAGGGCTTGGAAATCTGCATCCTCAACTGAGACAGAATGATGCTGGCTTCCTTTATACATTCTTCCTTGAGAAAGGTGCTCAGGCTATCTCTGTCTATGATAAACAGTCAAACCCTTTTATACATATTCTGATACCGATAGCTCTTCAGTCGGACATCATATTACACGCCGTCCTAGCTTTCAGTGGGGTTGTTTTTCTCCGGCGATCGTCTCAGCACGTTGCGCATACAGTGTGGACTCAATACGCCCAAACATTACGAAGCTTGAAACACAAACTCACTCAGTACATTCGGGGCGAGAAGGATCTTGCCGTTCATCTACTCTTCACTTCTCTCTTGTTATGCGCTCTGGAAGTCAGTAACGCTGACCGGCGTAACCATGCGTTTCTGCACCTTGTTGCCGCACAAAAAATCATATCTACAGCAGATGCCGACTTGCTCAGCTCTTCTCCCGCCTTCTCTTTGGCCGCTGAGCTTTACTTTTACAATGTGGCTCTGCTCTCTGGCTCACTTACCGACTTTCCCGAACAACAAAAGCTTGATTTTGAGCTTTCGTTTCGCTCCCTGACTCAGCATCGGTCCTCTTTTACTGGTGTTCTCTGTGGGCCGTCTTCCATTTTCCCCCTTATACCGGAAGTCTATAGCGTTTGCGCAGCTTTGTATGATGCACTTCTGGCCGAAGAGGATATTTCTCTCGTACATACATTCTCTCGGCAGCATCTGCTAAGTCGTGTCCTGTTTTGGAACCCAGGAACTGCAGACAATGATTGTACTCTTTGTGACAGAATCTATCAGCTTGCTCTATTGGCCCTTCTAGACATTCGTCCGGTGAATGCCGACAGGTCCGTGGGCTATACGTGCCCTGCTCGCTGTCACCTATACACTTCCCTTATAGGCATACTGGAGGCTTTACCAGTCGAGTCTCACCACACTACTATTCTTTGTTGGCCCTTGGCTGTGCTAGGTGCATATGCCGAGGAAATATCACACCGGAATCATATTCGCGACTATATGACAAGAATTGCCGACAAGTACCGCCTAGGCAATATGTACCAGATTATTGTGCTGTTAGATTATATATGGGTGCGCCCTAGTCTTCAGCGAAGAGGGCCTCGTTCTCTTCTAGTGGCAATGGAAGAGCTAGGATACAGGGTCATGTTTGTCTAGGGTTCGTTTGACAGGCTTACTCTATTTGAGGTCTACCAACCTCCCCCCCCCGGGGGCCCCCTCCACTACCGCAGGGTTCATGCAGGCTTGAAGATAACTGCGGATGTATGGTCATCAAAAGGATATTTACTTACCAGCTTTCAGGCAGATTGGCTCGACGCCTTCATTTCTTTAGACTACAGAAGTGTTTGCTATTCTATACTCTTTGTTGTTCCATGCCATGTGAACATATAGATCTTGATGGTAGAATAGCATAAATTGTAGAACGTAACAAAATTCCTAATGCGCTCACAAGACCCACGCTCGGCTAACAGGATGGCTTGAACTAATAGTAAGAACAAGAACTGGATTTGTCGCTCATTAGGCAAGAGATGTAGCCTAGACGTACTAAAGCTTAACAGTATAACTGCCGGGACTTCTAGTCAGCAAGAGTACGCATAGATGTCACTTGAGAACCACCGCAAATAGGGAGAAAGTAAAATTATGTACGGGTCAAAGCAGCGAGCGTACCCACACCGCTACAATAAGACTACCTGAGAAGACCAAGAAGACTACGGCCGTATAAGCGACTATTCTTGTATATCCTCATTCTCCAGCACAGGCATAGATATTGTATGATTTTATCAATAGCGTTGTTGATATCTACCAAGGAGCGGGCTGCACAGCCGGTATATGGTTCCTGGTGGTAAAAGATAAGCTTCACCGCGGACATTACCTAAACCTCTATACTAGGAAGGCCATATAGGATATGGTCTTCGAACGGAGTCATTCTCTTGGACGGGGGTGAGTTTTATCTGTGTTTTCTTTCTCGCACTCGAGCTCGTAGAATATGGACTTCATTTTGTATGGAAGCAGGAAGGGACGAGGGAATGTATTCCGGGCTGCAAACACGAGTGATCTGGACAGGTGAGTTTCCTATATCCAGCCTTAGGTCCTGATAATTGACTTGAAATACTGATATAATAAAATACATGGATTTAGAAACTAATAGTGCAAAAATATTAGGCAATATCTTAAGAATAAGAACAGTCAAGTAAGAAAGTAACATGAAATACTGTATGCAAACAGGAAACAATAGAAGGATCATAGGAAACGGGGCATATTCATTCGTTCGAATAACTCATGACCGTTTTGGTTTCTTTTTGTTTTCCCCGAGTTCCCCTTTTCTTTCTAGTCTGGGCAAGTTCAATCGCTTTCTATGCTGTGCCTTAGGAGCAAAGTCCACCGAATTCAGAAGAATCATAGAAACTCAGAGCAAAGATCAAGG